AAATTGAAACTTTTAAAGATGTTTCAAATGCTTTAGGGCTGGAAATAATTAGAAATACATCTAATTATTAATATAATTAAAATCTATATTAAATGCATGATTTGGTCTATGAAAACTCAAACTTACCCTATCTTTCCATTTAAATAACTTTTGGTTTGAATTATAAATGGATCTTATGATTTGGGTATTATTTTAATTTGATCTATAAGGTTTTATAAATTTTAATTTAGTTCATAAAAAGTTTAATTTCAATTTGATTTCTATGATTTTAAATAATCCTTAGTTTCAACTTAATTCCTATGATGTAGTTGTACGTTAGAAGTTGTCCTTAAATTGTATTTTACCAACTCATATCACTCACATGTTTTCTTTTATTTATTTTTTTACTCAATTCCAAGCTCTGATACAATCAAGCAACACAAAAAGGACGGGTGAGGTATGACTAAATTATAGGGGTTCATGTTGATTCTTATGCGGGTGCCACGTAAATACGCGTGAGTGCCACGTACATCTTCGTTTCCTAACTCGAGCTAAACCTGCTCATAGAAATCCAGCTCTAGTATGGTGCTCTATTGATTACACTCCGATGCCTCAGTTAGTACTCAATGTGGGAGCAAACACGTGTTGAGCTGAAATTGAATATTATATGGATAAAACTTAGGTGCTTCAACTATTTATTATATCATCTATTTTAATTGTTAATTTTTAATACCGGTAAGCAGGTAAATTTTATCCCAATAAATGAAAGGAAAGAAAATAATGTGATAAGGTGGAATTTAACAGGTGGCGAAGAAGGAAGGTGTTACACGTGGAGTTCCCCAATGTTGAACCATGTAAAGAGGGGTGGGTGAATGACAGGTCAGAACCGTAATTCTGAGCCGAAGCTTGTCCAATTTCCCAATTTCTCAAAACGTGGTTCCAAATAATAAATTAAATTCCCTTCCCTTCTCAGTTTCTCTTCACAGCATTACAAATACCAACACACAGCAATAGGAATCGGTTTCCATTTTCCATTCCAATCCCTTCGATCTGGGAACTTCTTCCATTCCTCCGCTTTCATCGCCTTCCCTTGCTTCGACTCCCAAATGAATCTCTGATCACTCCCACCATTTTTTCCGATCGGAAATCTCTGTTTTCTTGCAGCAATCCTTCCCATATCGCTTGCGCCTTTGACCGGTCAAAGGGTTGTTTCGTGTTTGTCTGTTTCCAGATGAAGAAGGTAGCGGTGGGAGCGGCTGTGGTCTGCGCAGCTGCTGTTTGCGCTGCGGCGGCGTTGGTGGTGCGCCACCGGATGAAGAGCTCCGGGAAGTGGGCCCGAGCCATGGCCATCTTGAAGGAGTTTGAGGAGAAGTGCAAAACTCCGGTTGAGAAGCTCAGGCAAGTGGCGGATGCTATGACTGTGGAGATGCATGCTGGCCTCGCATCTGAAGGCGGGAGCAAGCTCAAGATGCTCATCAGCTATGTCGATAATCTTCCCACCGGGTAATTTATTTAATCTCCTTTTGTCTTTTCTCATTTTCCATCGCCCTTTGTTGCGCCATCAATCCGTCTATATTCTATGAAGATGATATGAATGTTGCTTCTGTCTTTGGTTTCTGATTAAATTGGTAGGAACTTCAATGAAAGCGACAACTTTTTAATGAAGTTTTTCAATAGGGAGGTTTATGATTTTCCTCGCATCTCGCGCAAGCTATTTTTAGGGGGGAGCTTAATTATATCTGTATCGGCCAATTTAAACAAGTTCTAATTTCATGAAATTGAATGGTGAACTTTAACGAGGAGCACTGACCTAAACCAGTCCACGGAATCTAGCAATTCGACTCATGGAGGGATAAATTTCTCCATTTATTCAAGTTCAACGCTCAGTTTTATGAAATTAAACCTTAAAGTTGAATTTCACTCGGACGGAGAAAAAAGTGAAAACTTTCATTTGTTTTAAAGATTGTATAACATGGCTATAGTCATTTTTACCCTCATTTATTCCACGTTTTATTGTGCGAAATGTGTACCGAATGGCATGCTTCAGGTTGAGGTTGTTGTGCCTCATATTGAGTCAAAATGAAGGATAATGAACAAGATAGAATGCTTAAGTATGGTTTGTTATCTCATTAATTAATGTTGTTTAATGTAGACCCCATGATTAGATCTGTTTCATTGCTGTGAAAACTGAAGCGAAGATTTTTTGCCGCTCGTTTTTCTTTTCAATACTATTAGGGACGAGAAGGGGTTGTTCTATGCATTAGATCTTGGTGGCACAAATTTCCGTGTATTGCGTGTACAGTTGGGAGGAAAGGATGAACGTGTTGGTAAGCAAGAATTTGCGGAAGTGTCAATCCCTCCACATTTGATGACTGGGTCTTCAGATGTTAGTATTCCCCTTGGCAAGTTTCTTAGTCCAAGACTCCAAATTTAAAGTTCTAAGAACTGATTAAAGAATGTTTTTCAGGCCTTATTTGGTTTTATAGCTGAAGAACTTGCAAAATTTGTTGAAGAAGAAGGTGATGGCTTCCACCCAGCCTCTGGTAGACAAAGAGAGCTGGGTTTTACGTTTTCTTTCCCAGTTAGACAAACATCTATTGCATCAGGGACACTTATAAAGTGGACAAAGGGATTCAACATCGAGGAAACAGTTAGTACTTGTTACCTTGGATATCTATTATCATTGTGTTTAGTACAACCATCTATAACTATTGTTCAGAAATGAGTTTTTCTCCATATATATAAACGTGAAAGATGGAAGCTGTTGTTTAACTTGTTTTTAACTTTTAGGGCATTGAAACTGTTATTCTCTTAGTACATTTTCCTCTTAATGTAGTGGCAATCTTGTACAAGAAAGTCATCTAAGCTTTGATTTCATTGTGACAGGAAATGGACTAATAAGCTGTGTGATTATGTTCTGTTCTTATCATTAGGAATTTAAAGTGCCTACAAAGAGAATCCAATCCAATCGAAGTGTTGGTAGATAATCAGTAGATTGATGGAAAAAAAGAAACAAATTACCTGATCTGTGAAAGAACTGAAATTCTTTGCAAACTTTGGTAACTATAAAGATTTCTTTACTGAGTTGCAACTAAACTGAAAAGTTTCTAATTGCCATCTGATTTGCAATTTGGGAAGACCGATGAGGGTTGATTTGGATACTGACTTATTTCTTGAGCCTATTACTCAATCCTGTAGAAACACTATTCCTCATACGTAATTTATTAATAATGGTTTCCTATGCTAAATGTAACGTGCTTGGATTTTTCTAGACCACATGCTTGGCTGTATATGCTATCACTTGGATAATCTATCTAATTCACGACTTCCAGTATAGTACATTTCTTAGTCGTCGCATTTTTTTGGATGATATTGATGTAGGTTGGGCAAGATGTGGTAGGAGAAATAACGAAGGCCATGGAAAAAATTGGACTGGATATGCGTGTGGCGGCTTTGGTATTCCCATTTGTTCTCTATCTCCAAGATCTTTAAGAGGCGTTTGTTACAATTTTGTGAAGTGGTTTTTTCCCATGATTTTGATTCTATCCCCTCATTGTGTTGGATATTCTAACCGCTGATGTGATTCAGGTAAATGATACAATTGGCACATTAGCTGGAGGCAGATACCACAATGATAATGTTATTGCTGCTGTGATTCTGGGAACTGGAACAAATGCAGCATATGTGGAGCGGGCTCATGCAATTCCTAAATGGCAAGGCCTTCTACCCAAATCAGGAGAGATGGTTAGTAACTTTTGAACTATGGCACTAATCTTTATAATTCATTCATGAGCCATTGTTGACATTCTTTCAAAACGATAGGTTATTAACATGGAATGGGGTAACTTCCGGTCTTCTCATCTACCAATCACTGAATATGATCAAGCTCTAGATTTTGAAAGTTTAAACCCTGGGGAACAGGTGAAGCTCTTCCTTTCTTTCGGCTATTCTTTTAGTAAATTTTTGTAACTATTCAATTTGATAATTACATATATAATATGTATCTTGTGGCCATTTTTCAGATTTTTGAGAAGATGATATCCGGTATGTATCTGGGAGAAATAGTTCGAAGAGTTCTGTGCAGGATGGCTGACGAAGCTGCCTTTTTTGGTGATGTTGTCCCCCCAAAACTCAGAAAACCTTTCATTCTCAGGTACTGTTCTTGCTCACTTGTAGAAGACTGTGCTGTTTGACCCACCTCGACCCTCGTCCTCTTATCATGAAATGAAAAAAGAATTAAAAAGGAAAAAAGAGATAAATTGCAGAACTAACGGAACTTTCGAGTCCAATGACCTTTTAAAACTATTTTCTAGAAGTCATGGACCAAAGCAAACTGTCACTACTTTTTTAAACTTAAGGACCAATAGAAATCTATCAAATTCAAGATGAAAGTTTATTTTACCCTTGATTTTTTCATTGTAAACGGAGAGTAAGTGTGTGTATATGAAGTAATTCTATCTGTTTTCTGATTGCTAAGCTGAAATTTCAACAGATTTAAGGAACCCTTGATTATTGTGTTCAATTTTGTTGAAATTTATGCAGGACTCCTGACATGTCTGCTATGCATCATGATACATCTCCAGATCTGAAAGTCATCGGAAGCAAGCTGAACGATATCTTGGAGGTTCGAATTCATTTTCCTTGCTTCCTAGTTCTTTCCATTAAATCAATGTGTCACACCGTTCCGGGTTATGGGAAACAAGCATTTTCTCCTCTGATTTCGCTATGGAACGATCACGAAAAGGCTCACACCTTTTATGACATGTAAGCTTCCTCTTTTGTATCAGGTATCTAACAGCTCCCTCAAGATGAGAAAAATAATTGTCGAGTTATGCAACATTGTTGCTGTACGTGGTGCACGCCTATCGGCTGCTGGGATTTATGGGATCATCAAGAAATTGGGAAGAGACACCCCCAAAGATGGGGATAATCAGAAATCTGTCATAGCTGTTGATGGTGGGTTATTTGAGCACTACACCAAGTTTAGAAACTCTTTGGAGAGTTCACTGAAGGAATTACTGGGTAAAGAAGTTTCCGAGAACGTTGTGATTCAGCTCTCGAGCGATGGCTCCGGCATTGGAGCAGCACTTCTCGCAGCGTCTCATTCCCAATATCTTGGGGTAGAGGAATCCTGAAAAGAGGAGTCCGATGCCAGCCAAGGTAGCTCAAAAGAAGGAAAAAGTTTCAAATTTTGTTTGTAAAAGAACTTGTATTCTTTGGCTTACGACTTGAGATTATTTAGGCTCCTCGTTTCAATGACTCCCCGAGTCTAATTTTATGGTTCAGAGCGTATCATCTCCAGCAATGGATCAATTATGTGGTAGATTTGCCTGCAGAGACTCCCAAGATTTTGAAGTGGCTCCCTCTGTCCGTATGATGTTGGAGCCAATGTTGATGGCATCGGAGCGCAATTCGTTTCCTTCGACGTGGCTAATAAATGGGGATGAGAGGCTTTCCTCTCCATCTTCGTCGACGAATCATCCTTCTCGAGTTCCTTTGCCAAATAAATTAGAACCATATGGTCTGTCTGCAGGTTGTTGAAATTCTCCTTTCCAGTTGGATCAATCCATCAATGGATGATAGCAAGAAAAAAAACTGTCTTGGAGCGTACAAATAAAGATTTCTTTTCCCTTTGTTCATCGTATATCGCTGTTCAATGCTTATTTACTTGAAAGTACAAGGCTTATTTACTCGAAAGTACGGTTCTTTCACGTGAAAGCTCTCACGTGAAAGCCACAGTTTTTGAGCGAGTAACCGAAAATGCTCTAGTTTGAGCTTAAATACAATTACAGATGACATGATGGGCGATTGTTATTCAAGATCTATAAACGAACCAAACCAAGGCGACCTGCCAACTCCATGGCCATTTCTGCTCTGAATTTGCAGAACTGGCCAGAGTTCAGGGTCCTCTCCAGTCCCGACCATTGGAGAGAACCTCAATCATATGGTTCGATTTTCAACTACTGTGTCTCGGCTTGCTCTTTCAGGTGTTAGGATTTTTTATGTCCGTGGCTTTGGGTTTCGGGTGCTGAGGTCCGGCTGCGGATCAAGATTTCCAGAGCCTGGTTCATGGTGGGCCGAACGGACGGCGATGTGGAAGTGCAGATCACTCCCAGTTTGAAAACACTGCACATTTCATCAACATAGAGTGGCTCCTTCACATCCTCATCCAACGCATTGGCCAAGGGCTTGCCTTCTCGAATGTAACCCCACGCCCACTCGGCCAGAGACGAGTCTTCATCGCCGTTGAGAGCATCCTTTCCGGTCGCCAACTCTAGAAGAATAACCCCAAAGCTAAACACGTCGATCATCTCGTTAATTCTCGGTGTCTGAGCATACTCTGCATAAAGAAAAGAACAGGGTTGGGTTTAGTTTGGCATGTAAATTCATCTGCCGGAGAGAAATTTACGAGAATTGTGCAGGATGAGTTTGGACATTGCTCATCCAGGAAGTCTCATACCTGGAGCTATGTATCCGAAAGAGCCAGCGACAGCCGAGACCGAAGCCGGTTCCCCTTGCTTCACCAGCAACTTGGCCAACCCAAAATCTGCAATTTTGGCGTTGAACTCTGAATCAAGCAAGATATTGCTGGACTTCAAATCTCTGTGAATAACTGGGGGTGAGCAATCATGGTGCATATAGCAGAGGCCCTGCGCCGCCCCAACTGCAATTTGAAATCTCGTCGGCCAATCAAGGGCCACGCCGGAAACAGAGTCCGACCCGGGAATTCTCGGCGGCGTGTTCTTCTTGTGTAGCCATTTGTCCAGGCTCTGTCCCTCCATGTACTCGTAAACCAGAAGCCGTGAACTTTCAGAAGAAACGCAGCAGAGGAGTTTGATTACGTTGTTATGTCGAATTGAACTGAGAATCTTGACTTCCGCCATGAATTCTTTCTCGAGCTTGTGATCTGACTTTCTGTTGTTCCATATCCTTTTCACCGCCACTGTATCGCCAAAATTGTTCACCGGAATCCGGTAAACTTTCCCGGATCCACCGCTTCCGACCATGTTGTTTTCCGTTAGCCCAGATAAAAGTTTTGCCTCCGAGAAATTCAGCCTCTGGAATGAGGTCAGCTTCCATTCCACATCTGCTCTGTTTTTAGTCTTCCTGTAAATTTTGATTATGTAGAGAGAAGAAAGTACGAACAGTATGAACAGTATCGCGCCCAAGCTCACAATCAGAGCAAGATGTCGTGATGAAACCTTTCTCGAATTCTGTTGCCTGAAACTGCAGCCGTCGAGATTCAGAACTGCATTATTGGAACAGAGACTCGGATTGTTCAAAAAGCTTCTTGCATAGATAGCGCTTTCAAGTGAAATTGGGATTTTCCCGGACAGAAAATTCGAAGAGAGGTTTAGAAAATTCAGCTCTAGATTTCCCAGTTGAGGCGGAACCGTCCCGGAAAGTTGATTATCTGAAAGGTCAAGATCGGTGAGGCTTGGTAAACGACCAAGTTCGACGGGGATTTCGCCGGAAAGACGATTATGACTGAGGTTTAGATTAGTCAACGATTTCCATGAGATGATTTTCCGTGGAATATCTCCGACGAGTTGATTTCCGTCGAGCGAAATTTTGATCAACTTTGAAAGAGCAGCGAGTTCTTCGGGAATTTGTCCTGTGAGCAAATTATTGCTTGCTTCAAACACCGTCAAATTCCAGCACGAAAATATCCCAGACGGGATTTTCCCGGAAAATTTGTTGTTACTGATTTCGAATCTCCAAAGGTTCGCCGAGACTTTCTCAGGGAGTTCGCCGGTGAAAGAATTGTCGCTCAATGTTACATAAGTCAAATTGAGGGACATCCATAAACCCGCCGGAATAACCCCAGATAAGTTGTTTTTATGAACATCAATAATCTTCATGCTATTGCAATTACCGAGCGATTCAGGTAATTCCCCACTAAGATTATTCTCGGCAGCAGTCAGTCCCAGAAGCTTTCGGCCGGAGCACAAGTGCACCGGCAAGCTTCCGGTGAGCTTATTCCAGCTCACCTGAAAACTTTCGAGAATCGAATACCGGCCGAGATCTGGAGGCAGTGTTCCGGTTAAATTGTTGTTGAACAATCTGATGTCTGTCAAAAATGGAAGACGGCCGATGTTTTCTGGGATTTCTCCAGATAAGTGATTTGAAAACAGAATCAGAGCCTCCAATTGCTGAAGATTACCGATATCCTCCGGTATTTTTCCGGTCAAATTATTCTCCGATAGGTCGAATTCGATGAGTTTTTCAGATTCAATCCGCTGAGGAATTTCTCCGGATATATTGTTCCGGAACAGAAAAACCTGAGAGAGATTCTTCAATGCAAACAAACTGCTGGGGATTTTCCCAACCAATCTGTTCTTCGACAAATTCAAAATCTCGAGAGCGGTCCAATTACCGATCCATTCCGGAAATTCACCGATTACGTTCGACTCTGTCATCCATATGTACTTCAATTTCTTCAATTGCGCAAAACTGGAAGGCAATTCTGCCGGTATCAGATTTTTAAGGTAAGACATCAGCAATTCTTCCAGATTGGATAAGTTACCGATTTCAGAGGGGTAACTGCCGTTGAACTGATTCATGTGTAGGTAAAGGGAGCGGAGTTCCGACAGCCGACCAATGGATGCCGGAATGTCGCCGGAGAAGTTGTTGCCGGCGAGACTAAGAAACTGGAGCCGAGACAGGCGGTCAACATCGTTGGGAATCGGCCCAACGAAGTAATTCATCGAGAGATCTAGGTAATTAAGCTTCGAACAGTTGTAAAGAACCGTCGGAAAGCCACCGGGGATAAAATTGAGCTGAAGATTAAGCAGGGTGAGATTCTTGAGATCGCAGATGAAAGGCGGTAGGGTTCCGGTGATATTGTAGTTGACGAAAAGCAGATCAGTGACAGAGTTGTTGGAGCATTCAATCTCCGGCCATGAACAGTGAGAAACGTTTGAGGTCTGCCATTGGCTGATCGGCGGTGGGTTTTGCCAGAAGTGGTTCAATCGGAGAAGAACAGAGTGTTCTTGGTCGTAGAGCTGGGAATCGGCATGGCTGGTGCAGAGGAGGAGGAGAAAGAAGGAAACTGTGTTCCCCAAAAAGAGATGAGAAAAGGGAGGTCTCGTCATCTGGAGAAGATGAAAAAATTCTTCTTTCTTCTTCTTCTTCTTCTTCTTCTTCTTCTTCTTCTTCTTCTTCTTCTTCTTCTTCTCTCGGCTATGGCGGTTTGAAATAATATTATTGTTTGTTTTGCAGGTTAAGTGTGAAAGCAAATTGAAGCTTCATAGACGAAGCTTAAGTTTGCTGTGAAAATGTCGCCCTTCAGCTACATAAATTGACCAACGTGTTATTTAGGTACTATTTTATAATTATTTCCTTTTCCGTTTTCTATTTTTTAAAATTTATATTCGTGGTATAATTTCATTAGTAGTTTTATTATCTCTTTGAAATATATTTAAGTTTTGAGTCAAATTTCAAAAAAACAAAAATAAGTTTTTGCATTTTTTCTTAAATTTAGCATATAAAGTTTGAAAATATTTACAAAAATTACGTAATAAAACAAAGGGACATGTAAATGGAAGTAGTAATATTTCTAAGCATTGGAGGTGAAAAATAGCACTGCTGCGTGGATGATATCAAGTGGACATCAATTTTATGGTTGGAGTCGAGAGAACATAATAGCCAACTGGAAGATCAACCTCCTAGACTCGATCCGTTCCAGGAACGATGATTCTTACTAACTAAACCAGCGTGTGCTAGAGCTCCAACTCCACACGACCATCTCCTACAAGGATGGAAATGACCCGACACGCTCAACCTTCGGTCGGATATGCTGTCTGATATCCAAAGCTATAAATAGGGGACCTCATTCTGTTGGGTTTATAAAGAGTGGAAACAAAGTCTCACATTGATTAGGAAAATGAGAGATTTGTGGTATATAAATGAGAACAATTATCTCTATGGGTATGAGACCTCTTGGGTGGAACAAAATCAAAGCCGATCTCCTAACTCGCCCCAGTTCATTGCTCGCTCATTCAATCTGATCGATCGAGACCGCATTTTGTTGCACAAACATTAAGTTTAAATTTTAAAGATTGGAAAACAAAAAATTAATAGTTATTAATTGCTTTTTTTTTAGAATGAGTAGAATTTACTTAATTGAGGAGTACAAGGATAAATATAAGATATTTTAAACTAATTAAAAATATTTTCTAATTTTTTTATATATAATATTTTACTATATAATTAAAAGTTGTTTTGAAAAATTTTAAAACCTAGATTATGGTTTTTGCCCTTCAATCATGTGGATTTTCAATTCTATCATTGAATTTTTAATTCAATTTTGTTTTTTAATAATATACTTCTTTAGGAAGAGGTTGAATAACTTCAAAATGATAAATTTTGAAAATAATATATTTTATAAGAGTAATTTCATTTTTATTTCCAAAAACATTTAATTGAGTTAAAAATTTTGAGAGAGTAATTTTTATTATCCACAATGTAACTTTCTAATGTTTGTGGTAAAATAATTGACTATTTTAAGAGTTTAGAGGTTGATATTTAAAAATTATTTTTAGAGCCTAAACCTAGAATTTATTAAAATTTATACCATGGACAAAATAAGTTATAGATTAAAGGTGCGTATATCTTAAAAATTATTTTTAAAGTAATTTTAAATTTTATTAAATCAAAATTTTATTTATGACCCGATAGAAATTCCGATACTGAAAATTAGTTTTAAAAGTAGCCATGTGAGAAAAGGGACAGAGTAGAGGAAAATACAGAGAGAGAAAGAGGGATTGTAGGAAAATGCATGGAAATGCGAAATGGCGAAAAGTCAATGATTGCAATATTACGGTCAACATTCAAATGGAAAACCAAGGAAAAAAAAAACAAAATGAATTAAATAAAGGAGGTTGCCAAATTCCTACTTCTCATCTCACTCTACTTTCCTTTCGCTTCACTATTCCCATTCCATTATTTTTCCATACAATTTATTAAACAAAAGACCCCACTTTGCAAAATTTAATATATAGTATTATCGATGGGAGGACCTCCAATTAAATAGTTAATTTTATAGGGAGAGTCCTCATTTAAAAGGTTAAATCCTCGTTGAGTAAATATAGTGCACACTTGAGCAAAAAGATTAATTTCCGACTTCTTTCCACGTGTGTAACTATTATTATTTATTTCACCGAGTAGTTTTTAAATTAATAAAAAGAAAGTGGATATTCTTTTAATTGGAAATAAAGATTAAAGTGGTCAAAAAGGGAAAAAAGAATATAGAAAGCAGTCCTTTGCACCAAAAAAAATAATAATAATAAATAAATAAAAGTTTGTAGGAAAACAGGGGGAAGCAGACAGCACACCGTAATTGAACGCAGACCATAACCTTATTTATTTATTATTTTTATTTTTCCACAATATAATCCACACTACACTAAATACTTCTAGAATTCAGAATTGAATTAACACCACCTCCAATATAATATCATATTTCTACTTTCTTTTACTTGACTTACATTTCCATATTCACTTTTTCTTTTTTTTTTTTTGCCTTCTATTGTCATCTTTACTTTATCCACGTCCTCCTAAACTTGTTATATCTAGATAGGAAAGCTTTGAATGTAATTTAAACTAGGTAAAATATATTTGAGGGATTTCTATTTAATCTCTCAGCTTCAAAAAGTGGTAGATTGATTCCTAACCTTTAGAAAATAATTCTAAATGGTCCTTGAAGTTAAACTTCCGTTGGTGTGACTAACGCGACAATGGTGAATTAGATATTTAATAATTTTAGATATTTAATAATTTTATATTATTTTTAATTGGATGGATATTTTTTTTTCTCTTTCTCCTCCCTCCGATGGCTGGTACTATTAAGAATATTCATATCAAAATATATAGTATCAATTATGGTCCATGAAAGAAGTTTGAATATGTTGCTACCGATCAGAACTCAAAAGGGTGTGAAATTTGTTAGATTTTCCCCACAACCACAAAGTTGAGGGCCCTACTAGCTCCTACAGAGTACAAGTAAATGAGATTAAGTTTAATTAATGAAATTGTTTAACGTGCTGAGCTTAGGAACTCTTGTTATTTGGAATAACAATCCACCATCTTGGTTGGATAGGTTTTTACCGTCCGATTCTTATTCTTACTCATGTAGGCACATCGACATTTCTTTATTTTCTTGCCTCTCGATTAAAGGAAGAGTTTTCGTGTGAACAAGATTTGTTATCCACCCCTGTTTCTCTTTCTCTTTCTCAAAAAAAAAAAAAAATAAAACATCACAATCATGTATTATTCAAATAAAAGTCAAATTAGAAATTTAGTCGGTCAATTTTAGATGTGTCTATCAGAGTGGTACATGTTGCTTTAGCTAATTGACCCTCCCTCCCCCCAATCCCGACCCAACCCAAAGTATGATTTCTATGTTATATATGGTCGTGCCAAAGAGCATATCAGTTGAAGTAAGTTCTTCCTTTCCCATACTGTACGCAGGATCTAGATGATGCTATCTATACATACGGATCCTATATATATATATATATATATATATATATATACATCGTACAATGAAGTACCACATGAGTGGATACATATCTTTGTGTTTAATAAGTCTCGGTTGTTAACTTCATTGATTTGACGCAGGCTTTGTTGCCTATATTGTTTAAGGACTACATAGTGAGCTAACTTTGAATAAGTTTAGATGTTTGGTGGCTTAAATGTTAAACTAATAAAGCTAATGATATGACCGCTGTTAGACAAAAGACTGTTAGGAACTTTTCAAAGTTAATGGACCTTCACAGCCTTACAAGTTTAGGAATCCATTAGAAACCTTTTAAATTATAGACTTAAAATTATAGACTTAAAGGACACATTAAAAAGTCATGGAAAAATATAACTTCAACTAAATCATATACAAAAAGTATATAATGATGTAATATTCAAAATATGACATAATTCACATCATCCCCACACCATCCCCGAAGACTATGGTAGAGTAGTTTTGAGGAAAATCACTCAGCGTGCCAACTTTGTTGGAGTTGGTAGCTGAGGGGGTCATGAATATCAATTGAAATTTTAATTTTAGAAATTGCGGTTCAAACTTGACAGTAATAATTGGATTCTGGACTTTTCGATCAAGGGACCCAACCAACACGTGAATCACTCACAACTTTCTATTATTCAAATTTCAAACTTCAAAAGGGACTTGAAGTAGAGAAAATAAAACAAGCAGCTTCTGTTCCTGTTCTATTTATAAATCCTAAACCCTTTGGTGACTAAAATGTTCTAATAATAATTACCCACAACCAACTACCCAATTAGCAATCCCAAACAACTGAAGAAAGAGTCTTGTTGTTGTGGTTAAAAGGTGGATATTGTTTTATTTGATTGGGGTCAATCAAAAAAATATATATGAGGAGAACAAGTGAAGTGTTCATGTTCATAGTATTTTGGAAAGACAGAGACAAGTTCAAACCCAAAGTTTACAGAGACAATCAAAAGCTAAAAGCATAAAATTAGTAGAAATGGGCATTAAATGGACCAGCCAAAACACCCTCGGTATAAGAACAAAGAAGAAGAAAAAAGAAGCCGTGTTCACATTACAAACAAAACAAAATTGATAGTTTGACAGACGAAGCCTGCAGTTTTTGAAAACTGTGTTTGAAAGTTGAATTTTTTGAAAGCCTGGATGACCCTACAATACAGTCTACAGTTAGTTTCACTTTAGTTTTTACCAGAGAGAGAAAGCGAAAGATGTATTCTTTTGTTAGAGCGGGAAACCCAGTTAAGGATTCTTGAGCCTAGAGGGAGGGATTTACGAAGAATTGAAAATGGTTAATAATTTGAGAGGCAGGAATTACACTAGGCCTAAACTCGGGTCTCTCACCTTATCTTCAACTCAATCTCACACCCATGACCATTCCTACCATCTTCTTTTCATAAAGTCTTCAATTTTTCAAAGATCCATTGGTACCTCAATGGGTAGATTGTATCTCGTAATTTGAATATGTTTAAAATTCAAACGGTCTGCGTAAACAGGTGAAGTCTATCTTAGTCTTTCGCCTCTTCTTTGAAATAGTTTTCAAAAGAAAAAGAAAAAAAGAAAAATCACGACAATTCCCAAACCAGGCTTTAGAATTCCTTGACATATTCCCAATTAACTTGGTAGATGATCTTCAAATTGATAGAATATAGTTGTACAATGTTATTGCTACACATCACTGTTTCAAATTAGCAAATAATGAAAGAAGACTTGCCATTGCAATTTCTAATCACGTGAATATAGAATTCCAATTCCAATACGAATTCCCCTAAGACAAAAATTCAGGAAAGAATAATATATATTTACTTGTACTCGAAATTCGGCACCGGCGGCGAATCAAAGCTCTCCAAAATCTTCGTTTCGCCGTCCCCACGAGCTGCCTCCGAATCCTTTTTCTGCCCGCCACCGAACCATCCTCCGAACCATGATCCCGATCCTGAAGACCCCGGACTCGAAGCCGCATGAGGAAGAGTCTGCGGCGGCGTTAGACCCGGTATCTGGTCCATGGGGTAACCAGGGACGCCGCCCATGGCACCGGCGTCGTCGATCATAATAGGGGCGTTCTGCGGCTGACTAAGCAGCTTATTCAGCATGATCCCGGCTCCCTCGATCAGAGCCAACAGAACACCGCCGAACACGGCCGAGCGTGCGGAGGCGCGAAAACCCTGGCGCATCTGGAGGAATCCACCGGTAGCGGCACCAGCTATGATCGAGTTCCATGGATCTTCCTTCTGGCGGACGTAGACCATTGAGCAATCGAAAGTGGAGAACAATCCGCCCCAGACCGCAAAGCTACCGCCGATACGGGGCGCGTTCATACGGATGGCTTGAGAACCGCCGAGGAGGCGAGCGCCTTTAGGGGAACTGTAGACGCCTTTGAGAAAGTGGAAAGCGGAGCCACCGACGGCGCCCATGCCGAAGGCGCCGCCGATGTCGTCGAGGATCCGATCTGGACAAGGCTCCCGAGAAGTCTCCGGCGTTCCCATGAAGGCTGATCGGAGAGTTTTACTGATGGATCAAGCCCCTCTGTTTCTGTGGGTTTAGGTTTGCAGAGAAAAAGTCGGCTGAAAACGGCAATAGGCTTTCGCTTTGGTAAATGGAGTCGCTACCGTACGGTTCGGATTCGGATCCGGGTCCGGGTCCGGGTCGGAATACGGTTAGTATTATATTAGCTCATACCCGAAGATTAATCATTAGTTAACAACTTGTTTATTAATAATATGTGTTAAAAATTACTGATACATCTTACTAATTCGATTATTTTACTCAATTTTCAACACAAAAATATTTATGAAATGTTGTGCATTGTGTGTGTGTGTGTTTTTTTAATGATAACATTGATTATATTTCTTTTTTTTTTAAGTTTTATTTGATTTTTTCTTATTTTTTACTTAAGCCTATTTACCATAACTTTTAGTATTATTTTTTACTTTTAAAAATATAATCTATCGAAAAATCTAGGCTAGTAGCAAGTTGTCAACAAACCAGGTTCTAATTATTAATTAAATAAACAAACTATATTATATTTAACATAATTGCAGAGGAGCACGTGACCTTGACCCTAATGTGGATCCGCTCCTGATTTCAAATATAATAAGATCTAGCAAATATGATCCTAGGTTGCATTTTATATAAAATGATTCCATCTTTAATTATAAGTTTTGTAAAATAATATATATTTTTTCTTATAAGTATTTAATAATGCTCGAGAGCAACGTATGTAATACCTCAAACAAGAAAAAATAAGTTTTTTTAATAAAAAACAAAAAAAAAAAAGATGGTTTTTTCTCCTTTGAAGTTTGTTTTTTCTTTTTCCTCGTCAAATTCAACATTAAAATCAAGTCACTGATAACTATTAAATATAATATTACCGTATTTTCTCATGTGATTCATGGTTTAAATTATATGATAATTTACTTATATTTGAAAATCAACCAAAATTGAAATGAAAACCAATACGTGATTATTAGACCAATATATGAAATTTACTAGATCAGTTTGGTTGAACTAAATTATTATTCTTTTTTATTTAGTAATTTCTATGTGATGTATTCATAAAGACAATCCAATGGCTTCACGAAAAAAAAATCGAAAAACTGAATAAAAATTTATAACTTTCAACTTCACTCGGAGGGAGAGGGAAAAGAAACTCCATTGAGCTCGAGAAGGACCAACATAATAATAGGAAACAAAAAAATATTTAAGATTTTTTTAAAAATTCGTGGAATAGCTTGCATGCCCTAACTAAGTCTTTTTAATCTACCTTTTAACTCTCTTTGGATCAATAAGTCGACCCATGATCGTTGGTACCAGTTTAAGATTTGGACCTATAATCTAATTTTCTCTCTCATATTTCTTATAACCTACGTACCATTTAATGAAATTTTTTTAAATATAAAGTTCAAATATCAATTACCGCCAACATGAATTTAACTCAGTGATAGCGGTAATTGACATTTATCTCTAATGAAAAGCTCACGAGTTTGAATTCTATAATCATATTTGTTGTGCTAAAAAATAATAATAAATTAACAAATTGCCATTTGTACTTAAAGAAAGCAAATTTAATTGACATTATTTTTATCTTGTAAATTTAATGGGGTACCACCTTTGAATCACAATTGTAGTTTTAAACATTCCTAACAATCTTTTCCTATACGATAACTTTATAAAAGTTTTTTTTGACACAAACATAACATTTCTGGAAAGTTTAAAGGTTTAAATTTCTCAATTTATTATTTAACTTAAAAAATAATAATATATCGACAAATTGTATCAATTTTTATCATTGAACATTTAATTTTATCAATTTTATTTAACTTAGATAAATATCAAAATACTTACCTTAAATTTGAAAAACTATTTCCACTTTTTTCTAATTATTATTTTTTGTCGAAGAATCATTGAAAGACAAAAAAAAAGAAAAAAGAAAAAATCTCTTGTGCCTTTAATGGAGTAAAGATTTAAGAGAAAAACAACATTAGAATTGGTTTTTAAATGAAATCTGTGTAAAGTGAGTTTTTGGAGATTTGTACCTTTCTTATTGTTAAAATTCGTTTATAAATTAGCTAAAATTGAAGCAAAATTTTGCAACACTTACCTTAAAAGTCTAATTTGATGAAATTGGATGAAAATTGCTACTGGTAAAATTTAATTTATAAAAAAAAAAAAATTAAACGTTTTGAAACGACGTCGCAGTGCAGTGCAACAATATCGAGGAAATTATGTCATTCCTGCAACCCTAGTGAGCCACCGTTGAACTTCATCTCGAGACTGGGAGTGGGCGACGCGACGAGGACGACGGCAATCAATTAACCGGAGATAAGGTATCGACCATTCATTTTCAAATTCTTGCATTTTTGAATTTTGTCTTTCTTCTACAGATTCTTCGTTTTGTGCTTTCAAATCCAGTTCCAGACTGTGGCGGACGCCTAAATTTGTGTTTGTTCCACGCCTCTTATTTAGCAGACGCGGGCATTTCCCCATGCCATGAGAGTTTCTTCAGGATCTAGATGCTACAAATCATTTCACTCTTCGAACTTCCAGTCTTTCCATACCGGGGCGCCTCCAAAACCCCCAATAAACCCTAGCTGGGTCAGCTGCACAGTTTCCTCATCCGGCGCATGTCGAAACTTTCATGTTAATTTCCATCTATTTGACCTTATGAAGCTTTCAGTTCGCTCTCGCCACTGCTTTCCAGAAATTAGGGAATTAGTAAAACCTGAATTGAGTTCTACGAGATGTTTGTCATTGGGGAAATTTCGAAGTTTTTCGAGTTCCCACCCTCTTAAAGATGAAGGAGTGAGATCTGGGAATAAACTTCCTTGGTTAGCAAAGTCAAAATGGTCGGAGAAATCATCAGGAAAGACGGGAAGAGACCAATCGTCTTGGAAGGATTCAGATACGAGGTCAGGAAAGATGAGATCTTCATGGGGCAATCCAGCAAAGACATTTGGGAAGAAAAGTAATAGGTCATCTGGGGATAAATCAGAAAAGAGATATGGCCAATCGCCAACTAGAACTGCTACCCGTTCTACTTGGGAGCTCTCTGCCGAGAATTATGCTGGACGAGACATTGATTCTACTGATGAAATAATACAGGGTAGGAGAATAAGAGTGGACAACGAGGAGGAGCGAAATGATGATAACGAAAGACGGGGAAGTTACGAAGAAGTAGAAGATGAAGAAGCAGAGGCCATTGCTGATCCCAGGTGGGATAAGATTAAAAGTAGATTTAGGGGAACGGTGGACGAAAATGCTGCACCCGAGAGACCCGAGTTTAAGAGGTGGAATAAACAGGAAAGCTGGGGTAGAAAAACATGGAGGGAAGCTTCGGAATCCACCATCCCTAAAATGGTTGGTGAAGGGGTTTATGGGGTTGGACCAGTTTTGGCTGCTTTGTCAGCTGGAAGAAGAGAGTTCTATGCATTGTATATGCAAGAAGGACTGGACTTGAAAAACAACAATAAGACGAAGAAGGACAAGAAAGGCTTTGAGAAAGTTCTGAGGTTGGCTGAAAGGAATGCATTATCTATAAAGGAAATATCGAAGCATGATCTCAATATGATTTGCGATAACCGCCCGCATCAAGGTCTTGTGCTGGATGCTTCTCCTCTGGAGATGGTAAAAATAAAAGAATTGGACCCTGTTTCGCTCGAAGAAGACAAAGGCTCACTTTGGTTAGCTTTGGACGAGGTTACAGACCCCCAGAACTTGGGGGCAATCATAAGATCAGCTTATTTCTTTGGTGCATCAGGGGTTGTGCTATGTGCAAAGAATTCAGCTCCATTAAGTGGTGTTGTTAGTAAAGCAAGTGCCGGTTCACTTGAGCTAATGGAGCTTAGATATTGTAAGAACATGATGCAATTCTTAACATCCTCAGCCGAAAACGGTTGGAGAGTCCTCGGAGCTTCGGTTTCTTCAAAATCCCTTGATTTGAAAGAGGTACAACCCGGTGCACCGACCATTCTAGTTCTAGGCAGTGAAGGCACTGGTTTGAGGCCCTTGGTAGAGAGATCCTGCTCACAGCTCGTTCGGGTCCCTGGGAATATTCCAGTTGATGTAACCATGGAGAAAGACAACGATGCCGAACCCGCACAAACAACCAATGGGTGCTCGATAGACGAGTTTCGATCGTTTATGGCCGTGGAGAGCTTAAACGTCAGTGTAGCAGCAGGTGTGCTTGTTCACCACTTAATTACATAAACGATCCATTAGAAACCTGTGTGTCACATTAAGTTGCATTCATTACAGAGTAGATCCATTCATTTTTTTTATGTTCATTGTTGCAATCAAATGACGTGGGTTTTTGTTTTTAATGATGGCTTATAATTGGTGTTCGAAGTGACATGTCACGCTCTCCATGTTCATCATTTATAAAAGGAAACCAAGTTGGCAATTGCCATGTGAGTTGGCCTTAGGCAAAGCTTTCAAATTTAGCTAGCAGACATGGACAACTCATCTCTTCCCTGTACCCCCAAGTTTCGCCATTTTCTTCTCCCGTTGTTCTTATTACCCAATTACTTGAAACCGTTTTAGTTCTATGAATTTGTTTTCTTTTTCAAATCTCTTCATTGATTTTTCCCCTTTTAAAGTTGTAACGTTGATAACAACCCATTAGCTGATATGGGCCGTCCAGATTGGACACTTTGTCGAGATGATTTCATTTCAATCCCAATCCTATTATAAAAGATCCAACTTTTTGATTAATAGTTAATTCTACACATTAAAAAAGGTGTAACGAAAATAAGTTGAAATATAAAATAAATAAAGTATGCTTTAAGAATATTCTTCACAGAGGAATCATTCCATCCTAAAAAGCTTGAATTCATGTGTTTCTTCGTTATATCACCCACGTGCAAGTTACCTTGTTCTCCAAATTAAATTATTTAAGAATAAATAAATAAAAATTACTCCTTTCTATACTATACAATACACACATCGTATTTACAATAAGACAATCAATACTTTATAAAATGCATAATAATTGATTGGTATGGAATACGAACTACGAAAAGAAATTATAAACCTTTTTTTTAAGTGCTAATCATATATTTTCATTTGAAAACTCATTAAAAACGTGAATAAAGTAAGACGGGTTGAAAAATAAGTTCTTTATTATCATTCTTGCTCTCATTTTCCACTCATTTTAGCACATTGGTGAAATTTTCTTCAATCTTGGTTAAATTAAAACTCTATAAAGTCAACAAAATCCACATGATATGTTTTGTGAACTTTAACTACAGAGAACATATATTTTTATAATATGCGTATAAAATAAATAATTAGGGAAGAAGAAAATAAAAGAAAAGAAAAGAAAAGAAAAAGAAAAGAAAAATGGTGTAGGTGTGGTGTAATAAAAACGACAGGAGAGGAGAAGACATGTTTTGAATTTATTGACACGTGCGAGGTGACACGATGGGCAGTTCTAAGCTTCAAACCGACCACATCTAACGGTCTCTCCCCCTTCTCTCGTTTAACCTTCCCTCTCTTTCGAGATTTATATTATTAATATTAATTAATTTATGAGACTTTTTTTTTTTTTTTTGGTTTTTTTGTTTTTGTGGTCAATTGGGGGCCGGCCTGTTCTTCCGATTATAAAGTTTGGCGGACTCCCCATTTACTCCTTTTCCCCTCCCTCTCCGGCCTTTGCCTGACTTCTTCTCTATCCAGAGGGGATTCTCGTCCATTGAGATCTGATCAATTCCAGAAGACAGGGAAAGGGATGCTCTCTTTTGTTCGCGTCTAGGGCTTTTCTTTTGTTGTTGTTCTTGTCTTGTTTCCTCTTTTCGATGGGCGGAGGGGGAGGAGCATTGACGTCAATGGACGCTCTCGATTCGTTCCTCTTCTCTCTTAGCAATTCCTTTTGCACTCCCCTTGCGCTTTTCGTTCAGATCCAGGTTCGTTTTCCGCCTTGCGTTTCCTTTTTCAGATCCAGCTCTCTTTGCCTCTTCTCAATTTAAATTCAATATTTCATATTTCTGGGTTTTTTCTTTTTCTTTTTCTTCTTTGACTTGATTTTGGTATTGTGCACTCTCTGCTGGCTCTGGTAATTGAGCATGAAATGGGAATTTCGCGTTTTTCTCGTATGTGTTTTAGCTTTCTATTTTGTACCTTTTGAGCTGACGCTTAGTTAGTCCTCTTCTCGTTTTTGAGTTTTTTAGTGGCTGGGTTGCAGTGTTCGTGAAAGGTAAAGTTCGAATGTATTTCCGTTTCTTGCCGGTTTGAAAACGTCTGCATTGCTGTCATTTTCTGAATTCTGCTACTTCTCATGCTAAATTGTGCTACTGTGATTTTTTTTCCTTTTCTTTTCTTGCTGCTAGTGTAAACTGGAAATTGGTATGTTGTTGAAATTGCGTCTGGATTTGGAAACGTGCTTTGTGATTTAAAGCAATTTTTGGCTGATTAGACTTTAAACTCTCAGTATTTATATAATTAAACTTGTTGAGGATTTTTCGAACATTTTGGAGAAGCCTCATTCCTTTGAATTATTTGTTGCAGGGATGTGTAATCTGCCTAGTTCTTGCTTTTGGGTGGGCTTGTGCTGCTTATGTCAGGTACTCAAACGTTTTACCTTGAGCCGTCAGCTGAGACGACGGATGTCAGGTTGCCTCTGAATGACTAGCACCTTCTTATCTGAAAAACTGTTACTTTTCCATTCATTCTGCAGGAATAGAGAGATTAAACGTATAAAGGGGAGAGTTCAAGCTGGCAATAGCTTCGCTTTCATTTGCAATGACATCAGTGAACTGGAGCACTCCAATCAGGTCAATCTACCAAGAGTGACAGTTATTATGCCTTTAAAAGGCTTTGGAGAACATAATTTACACAATTGGAGAAGTCAGGTGAGTTTCTTTCTTTTTCTTTTTGGTGGGGTCCGGGGGTTGGTGTCTTGACTCTTGAATTTAACCTTTCATATGCTTTCCTTTAATAATTGCCCATGTCTGCATACTTGGAACTTTGATTTTACATATTTCTTTAGATTTTACTATTACGTCTACTGCAATTATTACATTTTTGTTATATGCATTCTGATAAGATAGATTATCTTTAGCAAAGAAAAATAATCAGAATTAGGAATTCATGCCGAAATTGTATTTGTTGCCATTTTACATTCTAAAGAGACAATATAACTTAAATTTAGGATTCCAAATAGGAATAAGACCTTACAATTATATACTAATAAATATTAATAATTATGTTATATTTATTTATTTATTTTAATAAATAAAGATATTTTGTATAAAAAGACAAAATAGGAAAATTCCAGGTGGGGTATTTGGCCCTCTTGTATAAGATGATCTGCCTATGAGTCTCATGCTAGTATGTTTGTAGCTTGGAATTTCTTGACAATGGTTAAGTTCAGTTCTCTATTCTTGAAGATATTTTTCTTAACGCAGCCCCTTTGCAAATTAAAACTGTTCCTGATGTCGTCCGACCGTCTTATTTATTGATGAATTTCCAGATAACATCCCTCTATGGAGGTCCTTTAGAATTTCTTTTCGTGGTGGAAAGTACAGAAGACCCTGCTTACAATGCTGTATTGCGGTTGCTATCTGATTATAAGGTTTGTATAAATACATTCTCCTTTGCTGATTGTTTCTATTGCTAGTTCTTGTCATTCTCCACATTTCACGTGATGCCCAGGGTTTAATGGGTCACAAACTTTTATCTATCGTCCCATTGGCATTGCTTGACTTTTATGTATTTTATTTTTTACAGGATGATGTTGATGCTAGTATTCTTGTGGCTGGTCTAGCAACGACTTGCAGTCAGAAAATTCACAATCAGTTGGTATGTGATAAATTTGTAAAATCTTGATTTAGTACTCTATGGACTGTTGAAGTTAGTTGAATAGTAAAGAGGAGGCTTTGTTGAGTGGATGCAATGTATTGGTAACTAGAGAGTTCTAGATATCTTAAGTGTTCGACAATCTACTAGTATTCATGGTATACTGAAGTCCGTTATTTCCGATGAGAATGGGTATGTCCTGATAGGAGATTTTAAGTTGCAAGGAACAATGCTTAAGCATAGTAGTATAACACGTCACCCTTGATTGGATTTCCAACTTGAGGTGGTCAACCGAAGCCAGGACGATACCTTTGTCGTTTTACTATTGATAAGCCTTGAAGTTGAGCTACATGGGTTGCATGTGTGAAATACTGGTACTTCCACATCTCAACTTAGTTTAAGTCCATTTCTTTTCAACTCTTTTACGGATGATCCTGCCAATCGCCATCTATTAAGGGAACTCCACATTGTGTATCTCCTCAATGGTGAATGGATTGGCTATTACATGACCGGAATGCAATATTGGATGATATAGATTTCCACTTGGCTCAGTAAAATATGTAACATTTTAGCTGTTGATGGATATGGAATTATATTGTTTCATGTGGAAAATTGGTTTTCTTGAAAATAAGACCCTACTCGCCATTGGGGATTGTTTTGCTCATTGAAGTTGGGGATTGTTTGGCTCATCAAAGTTAGTTAGAATCGTGAAAAGGGATAGGGAGAGCTATTTGAGGGGATGCAAGTTATTGGTTGAGCTGGAGAGAGTATCTTGGTTCTTGAGAGAATTTTAGTCCTCTCAGATGTCTTAGAAAATTTGTATTTTTCCTTCCCCATAACTCTAGTAAGGTGTTTTCATTTTCTTTTTCTTTTTGTCCATTCTCCCTGGCTTTGCCAGTTATCCTAGCAACTTGCTAGTCTACTGGGAAAAGAATCTTCAAAACATTTAACTTTTGGATAACTGGGAGTTGGAGCTTTGCTTCCCTACGCCCAGGACCCCCCACGCAATCTTCAAGCCATTTATTACCAATTTGTCTAATTTTGTTCATCCTTTGCATGAGGGAATATAATAATATGTAGTTTCTATTAACATTGAGAAGATAACGCTCTTCTGCAGGTTGGGGTGGAGAAAATGCATAAAAATAGCAAATATGTGCTGTTTTTGGATGATGATGTTAGGTTACATCCTGGGACAATAGGAGCCCTCACTGCTGAAATGGAAAAAAATCCTGATGTATGTTACTATCCACTAAGAGTTATTTCTTGTGTGAATGTCTATATTTGGACTATGTATTGCTTTAATAACTCAATTTTATGTTTAACTCTAGTTAATACTGTATGCAGATATTTATCCAAACTGGTTACCCTCTTGATTTACCTTCGGGGAGTTTAGGGAGTTACTGCATCTATGAATATCATATGGTATGACATAATTTTTTTTTTAAAATTTATTCAGAGAAACAGCCCCACTCTTTCTTATTCTTTTATAAAAATTTATTTATTTTAACAATCACTATCAAGAGCAATTCTTTTATGTGGATATGTGTTGGGTATGAAAAAGAACTATCTAATTTTCATGTCTCAACTTTACAGCCTTGTTCAATGGGCTTTGCTACTGGTGGAAAGACATTTTTTCTTTGGGGAGGTTGCATGATGGCAAGTAGCTTCTACATCTTTGTAAGTACCGTATGTGTAAGAGATCAAGTTGTCATAATTTCATTTGACTTGTTGCAGATGCATGCTGATGATTTTAGATATGACCGTTATGGGGTGCTCTCTGGACTTCAAGATGGTGGATACTCGGATGATATGACGCTAGCAGCCATAGCTGGTAAATACAAATTACTGATCATTATCAAGAAATAAGGATATGTACAGAGGGAGGCGTACTCCCTCTTGTTGCTTTATTATTTTATTTTTTTTTTCAGGGTTTGGCAGCATTTACTGGAATAGAAGCACAAATTTATGATTAATTGGTTCATTCTAATATACTTTCTTTATTAGGTCCCTGATGGCTGCTTTTCTGTTGCTTTATGCTTTGTTCCTTTTCAGGTGCTCATAAGAGGCTTATTACATCACCTCCTGTCGCAATTTTCCCTCATCCTCTTGCTAGTGATCTAAACTTGGGAAGGTCTGGTATCTACATATTCAAGCACAATGTGACAATCTTGTTTTATTCACTTCCATGTTTGACCTCTTTGACTAACATGGCAGGTATTGGAATTACTTGAGAAAACAAACTTTTGTTTTGGAATCATACACGTCACATGTTAACAAGATAATGAACCGGGCACTATTTACTTCTCACTGCTATCTGTCATGGGGGTTTGTGGCACCATACTTTATGTCTTTGATTCACGTTCTCGCAGCACTACGGTTCTACATTAAAGGGTACTCACTCGAGGAAACGTCTTTTAGTTCTGTGGGTGAGCACACTGCTTTTCTTTTTGGTGAGGCTATTAGTATTGCTTCAGATGATACTGCTACTTCACGTCCTTGTGGGAGTTTCATTTGATGTTTACTTTGGTCGATGCTGAATGTTGATATGGTGAATTGACAGTAAGGCTTTCAAAGTGAAAAAAAAAAAAAAAGCTTTTCTGGGTGAATGATGAGAGATTGTTCAAGGGTTTAATCATCCTATGATCCAAGAATAGTATATATAATGACATTATTGTGGTCATTAATGTAGTTACTTGATATATTTGGAAAATCCTGCTGCGTATAGTGGTCACTTGAGTTGTTGGAAAAGGGCACTTGTAAATATAATACTCACAGCAAATACTTTTCTAAAAATTCATGAACTTATCTTCTTCACCTCTTCCTGAATGCCATATGGGATTTCCCTTTTGGAATTGGAGCCTTGTTGTTTTATGCAGTTTTTCAGTTGTTACAGCTAACCTTTTTGTTCTTCCATAGGGATGTTAATGGTGTGCAGTCTTGCTATGTGCACTGTTATAGAACTCCTCTCAATGTGGAACTTGACAAGGGTAGAAGTTCACTTATGTAACATTCTGTCCCCGGAGGCTCCCCAGCTCTCTCTTGCTTCCTACAACTGGGGCTTGGTAAGTGTTTATAGCCTGTTATTTGAGGGATAAGCTTGGTAGACATAATACAATCTGGTCGCTTGGTTTTAAGTCTAAAGTTCAAACGGATTTACTTGCATGGATTTTGATCTTAGTATATCCTAGTCTATCTTAAAGATGCAGCTGAATCCTAGGTTAATCATGGCATCTTTTGATTAGATTATCAAGTTATCTATTTATCATCATGATTAGTAAACTTGCCATTTTTTTTGTCACGCAGGTATTCATTGCAATCTTAGTGGATAACTTTTTATACACTATTTCTGCAATACGTTCTCATTTTTCTCAATCAATCAACTGGTCGGGCATCCGATACTACTTGAAAGATGGGAAGATAAGCAAGGTAAGTTGGCTAAGGCCTTCTAATATATGAGAAGATTGAAGGGATATCTAGTCAACCCATCTTTATATTTTCTATTCAATGGACTAGTGTTAGCTTAGTAAAATTGTAAAAAGTTGAATTCGCATGCTGCCTAGAAGTTGCTTTGGTTTTTGCTAGACAAGAAAACGCTGGCTGTAAATGGTAGCATAGTTTAATGGCATCAGTAACGAGGGAATAGTCAGCCAGTTATGAGTACTGGTTGAATAGTTGTTTTCATGCTCTGCAGATTGAAAGAAGTATACCGAAACTGGATATGGGTCCAATTTACACAGACTTGGGAGGGAAACATTTGTATGGAAAGAAAGGAATGGCTCCAAAAGTTTCATTTCTGGGCTCCTTGGCGAAAAGTTTGGCACAATGGCGTCAACCTAAGAAATTTGATAGCTAGGATGGTTTTTCACAAGAACTGCTAATTATTTTGATGATGTGTTACCATTCTGGGATCTCATGGGGGAGGGAGAGGGCCATAGAGCATTGGTGAAGAGTGGATTGAGTAGTTCAGATTCTCCAGGACAACTCTGCCACTCCATTTGTTGATTGATCATAGAGTTCTTCTAGGTACTTTTCATTCTTTTCTTCATTCTCATTCCATCAATTTGATTCTTCTGCACCAACCACCGTCTCGCCAGGGTTTGATTGGGTGGGTAATTGGCAGTGATTTTTTTGCCCCATGTGATTCTTGTAATTTTAAATATACCATTGTAAACTCCCGCTGTGAAACAGCAACATTGTGATTTGCCGCCTTGTTTCATATTTGAAATGATGTAACTTTGGTAGTGAAAGCCTAGTGATTATTGTGGATTACTTTCTCTGGAAGGAAATTTGTTTTGCCTCCATCCCTTGGGGAGGATTTCTGATATTATGATTTGTTTTTTCTTCATTTGTAACCAAGTAATACCATATTTCAAAAGGAGGGTGCCTTTGGTTATGAGATTCTTCTCTCCAAGGTTTTAGGTTCTTCCCTTCGACTTGATTATGTTGGTGATTGGATCTCTTTGCCACGTGAACCAACACTTTTTATTTTTATTTTTTGAGTTTCAATAAATATAAATTTGATCAAATATGGAACATTTGGAATATGAGCCGCGAAAACACTCTGTAAAGCTCTCATAATTATTCTCCACCGAAAGTCACTTTCTCTTGGTGCAAAAATTCTTCATCAAGAATCAAGAATAGAATAAAGTTACCCCAAAAGAATCAATCACACAACTTGCAGAGCCAATCTTTGAATTTCACCTGTCCTCTAGCTTGATTTCGATTTTTGATATAATCACACGGAAAGAACAGAGTTCCACTAGAAGAAAAACGAAAGCAGCAGGCTTGAACTTGAGGACAAGAGCCTACCAAAATGGGCTGTTTCAGTTTTCGCTCTTCCAGATCTGCACCCCCCATGGAAGCCCCCATGGAAGCTCCTCAAGAAAACCCACAGCTCAAAATGCTGAAACAAGAAGTGCTTCTGCAGATACCAGGATGCAGAGCCCATCTGATGGATGGAGGGGAAGCTCTAGAGCTTGCCAATGGAGAGTTTACAGTGGAAAGAATCCTCGAAGATGGCGTTTCCCTCGCCACAATCATAAAAGTCGGGGACGATCTCCAGTGGCCTCTTACGAAAGACGAGCCCGTCGTGAAGCTGAACTCTCTGAACTATCTGTTTTCTCTGCCAATGAAAGATGGGGATCCTCTCAGCTATGGAGTGACGTTTCTGGAGCAGTACAGCAGCAGTTTGAGCTGGCTGGACTTGTTCTTGAAGGAGAATTCTTGCTTCTCTTCCTCCTCCTCTAATGCAAATAACAAGAACATTATTAACTGGAAGGAGTATGCGCCGAGAATCGACGATTACAATAACATGTTGGCCAAGGCAATTGCAGATGGTACTGGCCAGATCGTGCAGGGAATTTTCAAATGCAGCAACAGTTATTCTAACCAGGTATCATCAACACACCCTTAACAGCTTCAGTTGATTTCATTTCAGGATGAACAAAACAAGTGAAAAATTCATGGTAAATGATCAGGTAAACAAAGGAGGCGAAATGATTCTAAACAGCCCTGCGATTGCTGGGCAGAAGAGCGATGCCACCCAAAACAAGAGTGCAATAAACAGAACCTTGAAACGGTAAACAGCCACAGAGACAACAGAGCAAAATCTTCAATCTTGTCTGAATGTTATGTTTTTTTCTTTATGTTCTTTGGTTTAGAGTGAGAAACCTGTCGAAGATGACAGAGAAGCTGAGCAAGTCGATGCTGGACATGGTGGGCGTTGCCTCTGGATCAGTGATGGGACCTGTAATGAAATCACAGGCAGGAAAAGCCTTTCTTTCCATGGTTCCTGGGCAGGTCCTTTTGGCTTCATTAGATGCAGTCAGTAAGTGCCACAACACAAACACAAACACAAACACAAACACAAACACAGACACAAACATAAAAACACAACACATAAACACAAGTTTTTACTACATATTCCAAGATAGGAAGTTGCAGAAGAAAAAGAAGATGAAAAATGTAAACAAAAATTGCAGATAGGATTCTGGACGCAGCAGAAGCAGCTGAAAAGCAAGCACTTTCTGCGACGACAAAGGCGACAACCAGAATGGTGTCGAACAGATTCGGGGAAAGCGCAGGGGCGGCGACGGAGGATGTGCTTGCAACGGCGGGGCACTTGTCCAGTACTGCCTGGAATGTGTTCAAGATAAGGAAGGCCATTAATCCTGCTTCCTCTGTTTCTGCTGGAGCCCTCAGAAACGCTGCAAAAACTAGAAACTTTTAGCCTCAAAATGCTGCATCCAATATGGGGAATGATGGTTACAGTGTTCAGCTGGGATTAAGTATTTGTATCTTCCCTCCCCATTCTTTATTTGAACTCAAAAAGAAGAAGAAAAAATGTTTGTGAAAACTTAGAAATATGAAGGGGTTCAAAATCCAAACGCCTAGAATAGAAATACAAGAGTTTGTCCTTTTTGCACTAAACTAAATATACATAGGACCATATATGCTAACTTTTTCTAGTTATAAAAAAATTCACTTTTTTTTAATTAACTTATTTAACGTCTTCAAGCTGTAATTTTGTCATTTGCCAAAAAAGAAAAAAAAAAGCCGTAATTTTATAATATCAATTGACATTAAAGACCTGTCCTCGTTGTTTACAAAAATATTATTTCTTTGAATCAGATATATTTTTGGAATCGAATCACGTCGTTCACTAAAATATATGAATTAGATATATAATAACTACTACTATGTTCTAGCTAATTATAAATGTATTAACTGAAAATTGTGTTGATGCTATTTTTAATTAAAATAATAATAAATGTTAATTTATTTTGTTACTATTTCATTGATAGTAGATATTTTTTTATTATAATGATTTGTTTAATGTTAACAAATAATAAATAATTAAAATAAAATTACATCAATTAAAAATGGTTAATATAATTTTTATTAGGACAACATCTTAATTCATTAATACAAAATATCATTAAAATTTTGAGTAATATTTAATAATGATGCATTACATTTTAGTCATTTTATTGTTATTAATTGTATTATGTAGAAATTTATAATATTTTATAATAAAAAAATTGACTAAGAAAAGTTTAGTTTATTTATTTTTTATTAAAAGAAAGACTATTAGTAATATAGAAAATAGTAAAATTGTAAAACAGTTAATAAAAACGTTTGGAACAACGTTAATAGATAAAGAGAAAAGGTAAAAATTGTAAAATAATTAACTATTAAAAGTGTAGAGTTCATGAAATAAAGAGTGCAAATCATAATGATTAGGTTGGAAGAGAGGAATGAGATTACTGTTTTATGATTCTCAAATTTGAGTCTCACGAATTGATTACATTTCTACGATTTTGTAAACACCGTTAGTTTATTCACATTCTTTGATTCTAATTCAAGTAAACAAGACTGGAATAAGAGCAAATGGATTAAGGCTACTAATGGGCTTGGGCCATATGACAGGCCTGGTTTGGTTTAGCCCATGTTTCTTTTATAGTCTTTTATTTTTTATTTTATTTCATTTTGTACTCTGTCTTTTTTAGTTTTTTTCACTCAAAATGTTCGTTTTGATCCCTATATTTTTAAAATATGGTAATTTTAATTAATATTTACAAAATTTTAGACACAATAAAAACTCTTTAATAAAAATAAGATAAAAGTGAAAATGAATTGATCAAAATGGTCACTTTTTAAAAATACATGAACCTAAACAACAAATGTTTTAAAAGTATATTAATTAAAAGGAATAAAAGTTGAAAATTTATGAATTAAAATAGACGTTTTGAAAGTATATAAACTAAACAAAAGTCTAAATAAGAAAATAATAAAAGTATTTAAATCTTAAAACTTTTGTGGAACACTTTACATAATTACAAATGTAGTCTAAAATACAGGTCTATAATTTTATAATATATTTTCTCCCTCTTAAATTCTTAATACCCCTATCTAATGTTTTTCATTATTTTATTAGGTTTATATTATTTCCTTAGATAATTTTCTTAGCACAGTCTATGGGTATGAGAAATCGAACTCACAACTCTATAATTGAACTATAATCTTAATTATTAGATATTTTTTTTTAGAATTTTATTTTTGTTCATAGATTTATTTTTTCATTTCTATCCATTTTATTTTTGCTATCTATTTTTATTTGAACTTTACTGACCACGAGTAAGCTTATGTCTTTCTGTTATTTCTTGTTCATCTCCTAATATCGAAAATTGTTTTTCACTTCATATAACAGAGAAATTTAGTTATGTTATTTGTTGTAATAAAATATAATTTGAGCAGATTTTTTTTTGCCCTTTTCTTAAAAAAAAAAAATCATGCCAGTAAAAATTCCCCAATCCCAAAACCTCCGCACATTTCATTTTTTTTTTAAGAAAAAGAAAAAACTTTTAAAGAAGAAATAAAGTCTTAATTCGCCACAACCAATCAAGGATGCAAGTAATTCAATATATACTTTCCTCTAATTCGTTCGAAAGTCATGTGAGTAAGATGATCGGAACAAAAATTACCATCCATATTTACTTTATTAAAAAAGATGACGCCACAAGCATTCTGAAGATGTAAAACGATCCGTCCCAGAACACCTACTAATTCAAGAACAGGCTGCGCCAACCATGGACCCCACTAGGTGCAGAGTCTAATGTTGAAACTATAGAAACACATTCATATAGCATACGGATAATCACCTAGATACAATAATATGGTGGTTTGAAAACATAAAATTTCCAATCTCATAAATAGTTTTAAAACCACTATATTATTGTATCCAGGTGATTATCCGTATGCTATATGAATGTGTTTCTATAATATATCCAGAAATAGAAGGTCTTTTGACTCCGCGCGTTGAGAGAATTATTCGACTGTGTGTATTGAGATTACTCTATGTCAATAGACCAGAAATAGAATTATTCTACTGTGCGTATTGATATTACTCTGTGCTAATAGACCAGAACAAGAACATAATATGGTACATATGTGTGTTGAGTTTTCTTAACCTATTTTATGGTTGAAAGAAGATATTTTATATGTTATTAGAAAGTGATTCTAGAAAGTGTTTTCCTAGTTCTGTTTTATGTTTCAGGAGAACGATTTACAAATTTATTTAGAAAATGCATGCTGTTACACGTTTATCATGAGAAAGTGTTTTTGAGTTTTAGTTGCTCAAGTTTTACGAAATTTAAATGAGAAGATTTATTATTTTTAAAGTTTGTTTTCCAGAGCTTTGAACTTCAGTTGTTTATGGCAAGTTTTTCAATATTATTTTTGTATTAACTTACTACTCACCGAGCTTTCCAGCTCACTCTTTTATCATTTGTTTTTCCCCAGGTTGTATCTAAGTTTCAAAGAGATAGTGGACCAACTTCTGCCACCCAAAGTCGTTGAGAAATTGCATATCATTTATAGGTACATCCTGAGTAGTGTATTTAGAAAAGATATAAGAATAGATGAAATGTAGAAGTTAGTTTAAAAGTTTAGAAGAAATTCGACTAATCGACTTTGCACCTAGTGGAGTCCATGATCGGAGTGACCTGTTCTTAAACTAGTAGGTGTTCTGGGACGGATCGTGTCATCTATGGAGTTCATCCCCACCTGAATAGGTAAGAAACCACAACTTGTTTTATCTTTCATCTCCTTAAAAGCACATGTGTCATTTAATTATTATGGTAGTTGTAGAAAATATATATAACTCTAAGAATTAGCAGTATGTATAATATTGCAATATTATCCAAAAATGGTTTACGAATGTAAGTAGCCCTTTAATTTATAAAAATTGAAAGGGCTCTATCAATTTTAACCATAAACTTTCAATTTCATGAATTTAAATTTTGAATTTGAATAAGTGTTATAACTTAAACTCCATACTTATTCATACTTGAATAAGCAGTACAATTAATACTCTCAATTAGTTAACTTTTCAACTTTGTAAAAAAAAAGATTAGTGACAAACCATGATTTAAGTGTTGTATGCTTTTAATTGGTTATATTTGGACATTTTGTTGCTTTAGTCTAAACATTTCTTATCTTCTCAATTTTGTGACTAGCCTAGGTTCGATTACTTTGGCGATTGGATTGTACATTGCTAATTTTAAGTTATTTTTAAAATTTTATTAGTTAAATTTTGTGTGATTTATTAGTGAGCCGTTTTTAAATTTAATTTTGAAGAAGTGTTAGTTACCGTATTTAATTTAAATAGATGAAATTAAAAATTTAAAGTTAAAATTCAAATCGACTACTTTTTCAATGGTAAGCATTCAACTTTTCTCAAAAATTTAAAAAATATAACAAACCAAGAGAATAATATATTCCATACCAAAATATATGCCCCTTCCACTCTTAAACAAAATACATATCATAATAAAGAAAGATTTGAAAATTATAAATTTATAGAAAGTTGTAATTAGAAAAATAAAAGTGATTTGGTTTCTAAATAAAAGAAGAGATTGTGGGAAAGCTAATGGGATGGGAACAAGAATTTCCATAATTGGCAAAATTAATAATAATAATAATAAAGCTAATAGAACCCCACCTCTTAATTACCACCACTCCATATTTAATGAATTATTGAGGACGATTCTGTCCTCCCTTTGTTAGGAGAAAACAAAAAAGCTTTTATATTAACTTAATCGATTATGTAATAAATTATTAGTGATGGTTTTCAAAAGAAAAAAAAATATTAGTGATGAATTATTAAATAAAGGGTTGTGATTAACATGTTTGAGGTTAAATTATAAATTTGTTAATTCCAACCAAGTTTAATATATAAGATATTTACAACCATTTCTTAAATTGATGGTCTAATCTCATCCTTACCGTTGTTTAATTTGTACCAAAGAAAATTCATAAAATTTTAAAAAATATTTAATAAATTCCTAAATCTTTTATTTTATGTCTAGTATGTCGTGTCTCATACATCAAATATTCATTAGATACGAAATTTAAAGTTCAAAAATTTATTAGAGCCAATAAAAGTTAAAAATTTATTAGACATATTTGAAGTTACTATTAAAAATTTAGCACCCTAGATGGGCTAAAATTTAAAAAATATTTAATGAATTCCTAAATCTTTTATTTTGGGTCTAGTATGTGGTGTCTCATATATCAAATATCTATTATTGTTCATCAATCTATTAAGACAATAAAAATTAAGAACTTATTAAAAATATTTTAAAGTTATTATTAGAAATAATATTAAAAGTTTATGACCCTAGGTGTGCTAAATTTACAAATTAATCTATATTTAAAGGTAAGAAATTATCTCTTTTTTCTTTTCATCATTCAAGTTTAAAACTCCATAAAACTTTAAAACAGACGGAGTCATAGATAGTCTTCTTTTAAGTATAGTGCATGACAGAGAATCAAATCAAAACTGTAATAAATATACTTATTCACTGACCTATACACGAATTAATAATAATTCTAAATGTCCTTTCAAAAAGAAAAAAAAAAGTTCTAGAAGATCTCTTTAAGCCATTACATCGATCACGTCATAGTAATATATGTAGATGACAACGTGAAAAAAATGTTTATATAGTCCATTGCTTTAAATGAGAAGATAAATTTATTCATTCTTATTTACAACTTTGGCAATTATGTGTATCCTATTATTCTTTCTCTACTCCTCTTTGCCTTTTTCTTTCCACCTCTCCGTTCTCTTCCATTTCTCTCTTTTTTTTTTCCCTTTCTTTTCACCCAAGCTTTCAAACTTTAGGTTTATTCAACCTGTGACCAAAAATATTTTATAAATAATGAGAGTTTCGTCATATTCACAAACTATCCAAATAAAATCATTATGACAAGACAATTTTAGTGGAGTTAATAATTAATTACAATGATGCAATTGAAGGGATATAACAGACAATAATAAAAGAAAAAAGCAACAACATTAAAAAAAAAAAAGTGAAATAAAAACCATTGCATTATAAATGGTCCCAATAAAGAAACCAAAAAAGCCACATTGAGTGGGATATGGATCAGCCTCAAAAGCTTACAAAACAAACCCTAACAAAAATAACACATCAAAAACCATTATCAGTCAAATCTTGCTCACTTTCCAAGGAATCCACGTGGCAATTTTGCATTTAATTCAAACAAAATTTGGGGTATAATTTTGAAAGCAAATGGAACTGTTCCATGTATAAATGTTTAACGATTTAAATTAGAGACTTTTTATAGAAATTAAAGAGTTGTCAATATTTTAATGGTGGTATGGACAAGATTTAGTTCTCCCCATTAACGAGTTAAGTATTTTTCTTTCAACATCATCTTACACATTGTCTAAAGTGTAGGTCCCATTAATTAATTATATATATTAAACCAAAACTTAGTGGAAAATATGAAATTTAATTAAGATAAGAATCCATTGCCAACCCGAGTTTAGTTGTAATTGACATCTTTAAGTCATGAGTTCGGATCCCCACCCACGTAATAATAATAATAAAATAAGAACCCATTATTAATTCCGTGATTGAGTCACATGTGTGTACAAGTTAACTAATATTTAGTACCAAGTACACGTATTGGAACAAGAACACAGGGATCTTCTTAATTGGCTGTACTGTTGTGGGAATATTTGTTCTGTTTTTGACCAAAGCCAATAAATTAAATGAACTTAATACATCAAAAAGTGACTTTATTTAGATGTGGGTATTTGTTTAATGAACAAGACATGGCATTCCCATTCCATTCAAACTCTTTTTCAAAAGGAATGTTGTTTATAATTGTATGTTGGGTGGAGATAAAACAAAAGGAATAATAAAATAGAACATTAGGAAACATTTTCTAAATAAAAATATTCAAGTAAAAGTAGTGTGTATACACATTATATATTTATATGTATGTATGTGTATATTTAACATGCACATAAAATCTGTTATTTATTAGCTTTAAAAGAGTTCTAAATAATACCTACATTTATAAAGTCATCTAGAGAGAAGATTATTTAATTGGCCAATTAAATACATAAGCAACAAGATTTCCAAAAAAAATAAAAAAAGGAAAAAAATCAAGAGAAATAATGAGAATTAGGTTAGGACCCAATATTCAGAAGAGCAATCAGAATTAGGTTGGAGATTTGATGATTGTGTTTGGGGAAAAAAAATCAATATAATAAATAACTAAAAATGATTGGTAATATAATAAATATAATTTTATATATATAAAAATGTAATATAATAAACCCACTACTTAAAAAGTTGTACCCATCCTTTTCCACAAAGCGCCCTATGCCTAACCCTACAAATTGCCCTTTCCACCCACTCAGCTCTTCAACCGAACTAGCTACTTTTTTTTATTTATTTATATGTTTTTAGTAACAATTAATGATATATTGTGTGTGTGTCATAAATAAAGCACAAATTTTAGGAAATTTATTTATACACAACATTGGTTTTTTTTATTAAATGTTAAATTATAAGTTTCGGTGTCTGGAATTTTAGAGTTCGTGCCTAATACGCCTAATACGATGTCGTAAGATTTTGTGTCTAATAGATTCTTAATTAAACTTTAAAAATGTAATAAGTTATTGAACTGATAAGTTTTGGCCTATTTAGATATATTTTTTAAAAAATTATTGTAACACTCTAATTAGATACAAATTGAAAATCTAAGAAACTTGTTAGACACCCTATAAAAGCTCATTGACTAAACTTTGTAATTTAACCGTTTTGAAAATTACACTTTGTGTGTCATTTTTATATTAGGTTTTTTCTTGATAATTAAATTACAAATTTGGTTCTTATGGCGTAGAATTGATTTTCAATGGTTTCATTTAAAATTGTTAACTATGTCACCAATCATCTCTTTTGTTACCATATTAAATACGTGACACAATTTTATTTATATGGTAATAACTAATAAGCTCACGTATTTTAAATTTGGATAACTATATTGTGTCTTAAAGTTCAGATATACCTATGAAGGAAAAAATGAATGGATTTTTGAGTGGGTAAAAAATGAGTTAGTGATAATTTGTAAAAGACGGATTTAAGTGAATGATAGGGGCTAAATTGAAACTTTTAAAACCTAAAAACAAAATAAAAACTAAGTAAAAACCAATTATATATAGTGTGTGTATATATAATATATCTCAGATCATGAGATATATGCTTTCTTGTCCCTTTATACAAAAAAATTGATCTCAACAACACAGCATAAAACCATATTCTTTTACAACTATTGTTAGACCATGTTAGAAAGTTGAGAGAGAAACGTCTATTTCGATCTAATTTGTTGTAAAACAAACGATTTCTTATCTCATATCTCGATCTCTCTTGGCATTTTTTTCAAAAAAATACTTTACTTCTGTTTGAAAAAAATTACTCTAGAAAAGTTATACCAAACTTTAAAATTAAATTCAAATTCTAGAGAAAGGGACAATTGAAGCACAAGACAAGGAGACACACTTCCAAACAATTAATCAAGGTCATAGGTTAGCTAATTCCTAAGTAAAACGTAACAAAACATAGGGACATGGGTTGCTTTGTCCAATTATAAATTCTATCTTTGTTCTTATTCTTTTCCTTTAATATGTTCTAAGTAATGGATTCTACAATGCTCATATTCTGTTCCCCCATCGTCAATACTATAAACTTATTTTGCTTCAATTCTAATATAATTCTTGAAATCTCGACTCGGAAAGGTGGCTCTTAATTCTTATTATTTCGCACCGAGATTAAGCTGCTAACTGGTAACGCTTTAATTAAGTTAGTGTAATATTTTTTTAGTTGATTCTTCTTGATCTCTCTAATGTGAGAATATTCCATATATTCTCACTCTTTTTCTCGATCATGATTTTGATTGATTTTCAGTTTGTTGGTTCCCCGTAGATGTCATATCATTGCCAGCTTTTTTGTTTGTTTGAATTATTGAGCAGTTATTAAATGGGAGAAAAAGAAGAAACCCGTACGTAGCATGACGAGGATGTAAATTCGATGAAAATCGATGAACGGTAAGGATCAAATCTTGTCCTCACCACCATTAAAAATTTGATAATTTACTATAATATTATTTGATGATGGTAAAGGTAAGATTTCCTTCGTGCTGGTGAACTTTACTTTGCTAATATAATGCTTCCACTGTTTTGCGCGTATAAAAAGGCCGATATGTAATCTGCATATAAGACACTAATTATCCAATTAATAAAATGATCAGTAAAAGAGAGAACAAAAAGGGGTCACTATTATTGGACAATTGCCCACTACTCTTGTTTGTTTAATCCCATAAATGTGTACTAATTAATTAAAAAGCAAACAAAAAAACCGCACCAAAATCACCCATTTAAAAGAAAAGGCAAACTTTTTAAAACAAATGAAAACAAAACCCCACAAGAAGCTCATGCTTATTTAAACACTGTGTCCCCCTTTCATTTTCGGGCATTGAAGAAGCTCAAGTTCATCTTTTTTCTTCTTCTTTTTTTTTTTTTTTTGCAGAGATCAGATGGGTTCGAGAGAGGAGAAGGAGGAGAGAAGAGTTGGAGAGAAAAAATGTAGTGTTGCAGTTATTTTTCGATATGCTGATTGGGTTGATGTTTTGCTCATGTTTTTGGGCACCATTGGAGCAATTGGGGATGGAATGTCCACCAATTGTTTGCTGGTTTTTGCCAGTAGTCTTATGAACAGTTTGGGGAATGGTCAAATTCAACAAAATTTCATGCATAATGTGGAGAAGGTAATTAATTAGTAGTCTAATTAAGCCAAACCCAAACACAGTACTCTCTTCAATCTCTTTTGTTTGAGTTTTTCACTCATGATCTAATTCTTTCTTTTTTGGCTTTCAGTGCAGCTTATACTTTGTTTACTTGGGGCTAGCAGTCATGGTCGTGGCTTTTATGGGTAACTTTGAACAAACTCAATCTAATCTCCTTTATTTCTTCATCTTTATCTTTGTTTTTTCTTTACAGATATTAATACAAGAAAAAAAGTAACTGGGGTTTGTTTTGTCTTTAGTTAAGGGGACAATTAATCCCATCCGAATATTGCTACATTATTATTGTTCAATAAAACCAATCTGAACATAAAATGCCAATCAAGCCCAGATTGGATGAACACCAAACGTACCACACATTTTGATAAAATCATCAAAAGGGGTTAGGGCTCATACACAAATTGAACATGGGTTGGGTCAAAAACACAATTTTTAGTTTCGTCGCTTGGTATAAAATCATGAGCTACATTGTTCTGGTCTCTGTAGAAGGATACTGTTGGAGTAAAACAAGTGAAAGACAAGTGTTGAGGATTCGACACAAATATCTAGAAGCAGTTCTCCGACAAGAAGTAGGGTTTTTCGACTCACAAGAAGCAACAACTTCAGAGGTGGTGAACAGTATATCAAAAGACACATCTCTAATACAAGAAGTTCTGAGCGAAAAGGTACAAACTTTGTTCATATATCGAAATTTTACGAGATGAGGTGCGTTCTGAATATTAAGGACAACAGTATTCTCGTACTCTTTGAACATAATCCTCACGATTTTGTTCAGCGATGATAATTGTCCTTTTTTATATTACATGAATCACTCTCTTAACTGACCAATATGAAACTTTGGTCCCACACTTTATGAACCCAACACTAAATTGGATTTCCCATGCTCAGGTTCCGTTATTTCTGATGAATTCATCGGTATTCCTATCGGGGGTCGGGTTCTCGGCCTACTTCTCATGGAGATTAGCAGCAGTAGCCTTCCCAACGCTGCTGTTGCTGGTGATTCCGGGAGTTTTGTACGGGAAGTACTTGGTTTATGTGGCGAAGGAGAGCCGTAGGGAGTACGGGAAGGCAAACGCCGTCGTGGAGGTGGCGCTGAGCTCGATAAAGACGGTGTATTCGTTCACGGCAGAGAGGAGGGTTTTGGAGAGATATGAAGGGATTTTGGAGAGGACGATGAGGCTGGGAATAAGGCAAGGAATTGCCAAAGGGCTGGCAGTGGGCAGCTCTGGGCTTGCGTTTGCGATATGGGGTTTGATTGCTTGGTATGGCAGCCACTTGGTCATGTACAGAGGCGAAAGTGGCGGCAGAATCTATGCCGCTGGCATCTCCTTCATTTTGGCTGGCCTGTATGTTGTTTATTCTCCCTCTCTGTTTTATGAAATTGTGGCTTAGATTTTAGACCTTACAATATTTGGTGTCATGAAACCTATAGAAATTATTTCTTAAGGTAGGTGATTATGATGGAACCGGTTTGAACTTCTTCTTTCTTACTTTATTCTAGTCTCTATGAATCAATGAACCACCCATCATGATTATTTATAGGTTATTTTTTGAAACAGAAATTCATAAATACAATGGTTGTCGAATGGAGTTTAAAATTATTAAGTTTGATGCTTGAATTCTCAAGGTTGTGTGTTTGGTTAACTTTTGTAGTCTAAAAAGTTTGTAATATAGATCTAGTGTGCTTTTAGGGTTATTTTCATTTGGTCTTTAATAATTCTATGTCCTAATTGATTTTGTCATCATTAACTTTGTTTAAAGATTAAATGTTAGGGTGGGTTGATTTCAAAATAGGTTCGAGTATTGGGTGACCTCGGTGTTAAAAGTTAATAGTGCTAATTGTGAATTATTTAAGAATCTTTTTCTAAGTATAGAAATTAAATAGATATAGTTTTAAAATTTTATTCATTAAAAACTTTTCGATAGATTGAACAAAGTTTAGAGACAAAATGTATTATTTATATGGTTTTCTTTGCTTAGTTTTAATTGGTTTTCTTAAAAATGTTTTTAAATTTCTGAGTTTTTAAATTTAGGAACTACTTCTAATTTTCAAATGATAATGAAACTGAGGAACGTGATGAATTTCAATGGAAAAATAGGACAAGTCTCTTTCAAAGGAAGTGATCAATTTTATGCCATATCTTTTTCCCTCTAATTAGAAGGCAAATTTTCTTCTGTGACGTGATCATTTGTTTTTATCCCAACCTTTTCTGGACACTTACCCGAGATTTTAGTGAATTTATACTGTAAAATTTGATCTGCTTACGCATCTCAATAGTGAAATGTAACAGTCAAGCAGTTCTTTATTCTGGAAATTAGACCATTGATTTTTTATTTTTTAAATTTTAAATCACACTACAAATGTCTTACAAATTTAATCATTGAAGACTTCTTTTAGTTTTACTTTTTAAAATCTGAATATTTATTTGCTCTAGAACTTAAAACGGCAAAATTAGGGTTTGTTTGATGGTAATTTTTGTTTTGTTTTGTTTTTTTTTTAAATTTATAATACATGCTTACAATTTACTAATATAGAAGACATTATAGAAAGATTAC